GAGCCAGACCGCAGGCCTCCCTCCGTGGCGGCCTCTGACGGCCTTCCCTTGCTCCCACAGATGAGGCAAGGAGCCTTCCTGGTGAACGCGGCCCGCGGCGGGCTGGTGGATGAGAAAGCCTTGGCCCAGGCCCTCAAGGAAGGCAGGATACGAGGGGCCGCCCTCGACGTGCACGAATCGGAGCCTTTCAGGTGGGTGTGCTGGGCTGTCGCCGGGCGTGCGACCCGAGCTCGCGGCGGCCACCCCTGAGCGCGGCTCCTGCAGAGAAAGCTAGGGACCCCGTGTGGTGGCCTCCGTGCTGTGCCTGGAGCCCACGGGGAGGGGCCAGGGGGCCGCCAGGGGGCCACCAGGGGCGTCAGGAAGCGTCTGAAAGGAAGGGCAGCCGTGGGGGGGTCTGGAGCGGAGGGGGCCTCCCGTCCGAGCCCCCGATCCCTCCTGACACGGACTATAAACGTTCTGACGGGTAGGTAGGCTCTTCAGCTCCCAGCCCGCGGAAGTGTCCTGCTGCCCGCCGTCCCTCTACGCCAAGACCCTGGCCGCTGTCTGCATGGCCACGAGCTCCCTTTTGATGAGCAGGGTGGGGAGGCCTCCTCCACTCTTCTCATTCGCTTGTTTTTCTGCACTTCTCTAGCTTTGCTCAGGGTCCCTTGAAAGATGCGCCGAATCTCATTTGTACGCCGCACACAGCGTGGTACAGTGAGCAAGCCTCGCTAGAGATGAGGGAGGCAGCCGCCACCGAGATCCGCCGGGCAATCACAGGTGAGCCCTCCAGCCGCGCCGGGGGTGAAGGGCGGCCCTGGGGCCGGTCACACACACCCCCCGGGGGCGACAGAGGCTTGCTGCCCACTGCGGGCAGGTGGAGTTTTTAGGGATCCTGCTGATGACATTTTGAAGGAGCTGGACTGTTAATCCAAGCCCTGACCTTGATTTCGGAGGAGACGGATTCCCCCTTTTTTTGTTTTTGTTTTTTAAAGACTTTACTTCTGTATTCAAGAGAGACACAGAGAGAGGCAGAGACATAAGCAGAGGGAGAAGCAGGCCCTGTGCGGGGAGCCTGATGCGGGACTGGATCCCAGAAATCCGGGATCACGCCCTGAGCCAAAGGCAGAGGCTCAACCGCTGAGCCCCCCAGGCGCCCCCGGATTCCCTTTTCAGGCAGCCAAGCGCAAGCGCCCCCACTGTGGGAGCCGGAGCGAGGCTCCTTTCTGCTCCCCCTGGGGGCCGGTGTGAAGAGCGCAGTGCAGAGCGCAGTGCGTGGGCCCCGCCACGTTGCCCCTTCCCTGCAAATGAAAGGGCCAGGCCGCTCACTGCGGGGGAAGAGCCGGGACTCTCGGCTCAGACACTGACGGGGGCTCCCCAGCAGCAGCTGCTGAGTGTAATACATCACACACTGTGACCTTAAAAACATACATGATTAATTTTAATCGCCCTATTCCAGGTCGCATCCCCGAAAGCTTAAGAAACTGCGTGAACAAGGAATTCTTTGTCACAACAGCTCCCTGGTCAGTAATAGACCAGCAAGCCATCCATCCGGAGCTCAACGGCGCCACGTACAGGTGAGGAGCGGGACGGCAGCGGCCTGGGCCCGAGCCTCTGCCCCGGGGAGGGGAGCCCAGAGAGGCGCAGCCCGCGGGCGTGCTCCGGGCCCCGGCAGTGCAGTCCTCCCCTCTTCTGATGCCCGATTTCTGTGGAGCAAACACAGCTCTTGGGGTACAGCCTGGAATCGGGGTTCCTATTTATAAAGGTGGGAATGGGAGTGCATTCCCCAAAGGGTGCGAACACTGCGAGGAATCCCCCGGCATGCCAAGCCACCCCCAAACCAGAGGGCTTCTGGGTGAGAAGTTCCCAAGATTTCCGGGGGAAGGGGCCTGTTGGCGAATGTGTTCTCTAGTCTGACTCTCCTGGCCCGGAGCCCGCAGAGCCCCTAGAAGGGAGCAGGGTTTCAGGGGTGATCGTTTCTCTCCCCCCACCACTGCTGGGCTTACGGGGAGGTCAGTGTTCCCGCTTTCTAGAGGAGCTGCAGCCTTGAATTCCAGAAGGACATTTTTGTCCTGCTGTGGCCCACGGTTGCCCCATTGCTGGCAGGGTGCACGTCCCGGGCCAGATGGTTCTCCCCTGGGGGCCCAGCCTTTGCACAGTGGGACGTGCGACCTCCACCAACACCTCGCACTCCCAGCTGTAATAACCAGAAAGGGCTCCAGCTGCTGCCTAACCTGCCCTGTTGGGAATCACGGCTCGGACCAGCCCGGGGCCGGGGAGGTGTAAATGGAGTTAGCGTGACAGGACCCATCGGTGAAAGCTCGGACTCTGAGGAAGTCATGGGGTTTTCTTCCTGGGTCTGCTGGCTTTGCTTACATTGCGGTTTGGCGGGTTCTAGTAAAGTCCCACCCATTTTGACCCTTCGAATAGTACTTCCGTGTCATTAACTTGAACCTGCCTCCGCCCCAGGTTCCCAGTTCCTTATCGTTGGCAGCCTGTCCTTTAAAGGCCACCTCTTAAGTCTTTCCATTGACAAAGACTCTGTGGCCCTTGGTCTTGGGACTGTAGCTCACAGGATCCCGGTTCACCCGCGTCCTGGAGAGTCCTTGATTTCTGACCAACCAGTGAATAGTTGTGACAGGCTGCAGGTTGGGGAGCCAGGGGTGAAGGGTCCAACTTGAATGGAGGAGGAGGAGTCTTTTCTAAGGCAGGTGCTTTAGAATGAAGTCTGTTTTATCCTAGAATGTTTAAACACACGGACTCACATTTGCATAGGAGCCACGTGTTCTGTGGGCGGTTTAATGCCACGTGTCCTTGCACACACAGCAGCTCGTGTCCCTACATCGTAAGACGAGCCCATCGCCGGCTCACCTCTCCCCCTGCTGCTGTGTCCCGTTTCACATCTCAGGCCACGAGAGCACATGACTTAGCTCACCTAGGGAGCCACATTTAGTATCGGGACTTCATACTCTCTGTTGGGAAATCATTAAAAGCATCGATAGAACTAATGAGTACTTTTAGGGCAACTGGAAAACTTGGGAGTGTGTCTCTTTTTGTACAAAAGGTTTCCCAAATGCAGTAGTGTCCATGGATATAACCGGGGCTCTTCCTATTGTCTGAAAGCTACAAAGTTTGTGCTAGATTTTTTTTGTTCTTTATGGATTAAAATATCCACGTTTTATTAGATTTTCCAAGTAGATTTCTTCTTGCTTTGGGGGTAAAGTGACAAACTAACCCACTAAAAAAATGACCTTTAGTAGGCAGAGCTGAGAGCTTGGCCCTGCCTGGCCCTGGACTCACCGGCCCTCTCTCTCTGCTCCTCAGATACCCGCCAGGCATCGTGGGTGTGGCTCCGGGAGGACTTCCTGCAGCCATGGAAGGGATCATCCCCGGAGGCATCCCCGTGACTCACAACCTCCCCACAGTGGCACACCCTTCCCAAGCTCCCTCTCCCAACCAGCCTACAAAACACGGGGACAATAGAGAGCACCCCAATGAGCAATAGCAGAGAATGACGAACGGTCATCATTCAGATAAACCTGGGACCAAGAGACAGTGAAAAAATAGATGAACTGAGAAAAGGACTTGGACCGTCTTTTGAACCGATTCCGGACATATGCATCATTGACGTTGCAGTGCTGAGAGAGCTCGAAGCCGAGGCGTGGGGAGGCTGAAGCTGTCGTCTGGTCACGGAAGTGCGGAAAGACTAGGACGTGATTTATTAACGACCAACTTCTGTTCTTGTGTGTTACGTTCTTCATCTGTGCATCAAATCACAAAGAATAAATAGATCCTTTTCCTTTATCAGCCCCTTGGGCACAGCAGGTCCTGAACACCTTGCTCTAGAATGTTGCATCAGGAATTCCAAACGTCAAATAAAAAAAAAAATACTAAGAGGATATCCCCCTCCTATGACTCTAGTCCCTTTGGTCCATGGGGGCTGGTGACCTCTTTTGCTGATAGGAAGATTTAAATTACTACCAAATGGGGAGAAAACTGTTTGCCCGTGTTAGACAACTGCGTAGGATCGAAGACCGTACAGGCTCCTGTACAGAAGTCTCTCCCATCTGAACTGCATACTGAGCGGGCGAGTTGGTTCTGAATTCAGTAAAACCCTCTTGATGATGCAAAAAAAGGAAAAAAAGAAAAAAAGAAAAAAAAGAAAGAAAAAAAGTATTAAGTTTCACAAGCTGTTTGTACTCAAATATATTTTCTCAGTTTCAGATCCTCAGCTATTTTATTGAGTGGAAAGTCTTGAGCTAAAAGAGTTCAAGAAAAATAATGTTGCATTTCCTTATGTCTCAGGAAACACTTTTTATGGTAACTTGTCAGATTGTCTATGAACAAACCCACTTTTTTAGACATTGATAAATCTTCTTTTCTTCACGTGATATTTTATACAAGAACACTTCAGGTGTGTTATTAGATGTGACTGATTTTAACAAATCCTATTAGATTTGTATCAACTAGTTACATGTTATATTCATAGTCTTTTGTGAATCATCGCCTTTTTGTTTAAAAGATGGCCTATTTTGAGCCTTTGTATAGGTACATTCCTGTTTTTGTGACAAAAAAAAAGCAAAAAAAAAACAGCAAAAAAAAAAAACCTTTAAAACTGTCCCAAACAGAAAAATAATGGCTATCGGAAGTGTTTTGTTTTAGTGTGAGTTACCGCTACTGTGTCTGTTTATTGTAAAGGTGGACATTTAGCGTTCAGTGCAGTTTTCAATAAAAAGTAATAAAAATTTGTTAAGTTCTGAAATTCAAGTACATCTCACCCAAGGTAAAAGTTCTCTACTTGAGATGTTTTAAAGGCAACTACATTCTCAGCCAGTTTTCAACTCGTGTTGAAAGATGCACACTCCTCCATCTGCCCCTTCCATAACCAGACTCAGGAATGCGGGTGATTACCTGTGACACCAGAAAACTGCCCGTTAAGTCCATCGTTATCAAATCATGCCATCCTTAAGATGAAATATAGTGGGTTGGAATGGAACTAAGCGATTCAAGAAACAAATTGGTCAAGTTAAGAGTTTTGATTTTAATTTACCCAAAAGCAAAATTACCTGGCTCAAGCATTAATGCAGGAAGGGAAGTGAATCTCAAAATTCTTTTAGATGATATTTACAAAGAAATGTTGCAAAATACTTAACATCAGCCATTTCCATATGTTAAGAACTCTGTTGATTTAAAGGATTTTCCTTCTTAAATAGCATTAAACCCCTTTGTACTAGTGGTATCCGCAAGTATCCGTCAAGTCCAATTCCAGGTACCCAACTCCCCGTCACTCCTTTCCCCTCCCCTTCCTAGGAAGAAAAGGTGCGGGAGGGGTAGGATGGGGTTTCTGAACATCAACCTCCTCACTCATTTGAAGGTGATGGTCCTATCCCAACCCCCCCTTACCCCCCAGAAAAAAAATTACATAAATACAACCACCTATGGATAGAGATTGGAGCACATGGTTACTCCAGGAAACGGAATGGGAGCCTAACATCCTCTTCAGAGCCAGGATATTGTCAAGGAGGGCATGACACATGCACATAAAGGAGATCCCCAACTGCCTAAAGAAAGCAGTGTCCCCTTAACACAGATGGAAGTCTGGGGCATGAGGAGTCAAACAACAAAAAGGCCAGTTCAAATCCGTGCTGCACCTAGGTTTTGTTTAATTAGAACAGAAAACACCATACTGTATTGTCTCTAAAAAAGGAAAAAAAAACCCATAAGGTTCAAAGTCCATACAGTTAAGGTATTACTGTCCAGAGTCAACCAAGACCTCATCTTTGAGAAAGGACTGCGTACTCTATCTCGGGACAATTATGGCTGTTTAATAGTTCAAGAGCTTAACATAGCATTGATTCACCAACATTTTGGCCTTACCAGCCAGTCTGCTATAAAAACCATTTAAAGCCCCATCCCTGTCTGGAGCCTAGGAAATGCAATGTCCTACCTTTCCCACAGGGAAGAATGCTGTACCTGTTCAACTAGGTGTGGTCAGGATCACTGATGATAAATAAATAAATAAAGAGGCACCTTGGGGGAAACAACACTCAGCAGACCACCACACCCAGGCTAACTACTGAGCCTATGAGATTCCTGGACAGCATCGACTGCAGTGTAGACCAGAGTGACTGACTAGATGCTTCTCTCAAACATTTCTCTTTGGCTTCTTCAACCAGGAGGGTAGTTTTGCTTAACAGCAACTAGAATAGGATCTGTGCCCACTAAAGAATTCTTCCTATGTATGGAGAAAAGTTTATAGCGATGCTATGCTAAGTAGTCAGAATAACAGCCTTCTAAAAACTTCATTACTGACCAAAATGAGAGTCGACCAGAGAGTCAATTTGTAGGGAAACCTAGCCACATAGAACAGTAACATTTACCATTGTTACACCAAAACTCGTTTATATGGAGTCGAAATTGCAACAAGTTTCCTGCAAGTTTTCGCATACAGTAGAACTGACCCTCTCATCCTGAGAATATCTCCATGTGCTGCTCCAAGAGGGGAGACATGACATCTCATGGGTGTTTTTCTATTTTTAGTAATTCCAGCATCAAATTAGAGCTTGTGTATACATTTCAAACACCATCTAAACAGAACTTAGAAAACAAATATATAAAGGTTTTTTCACAGCCTTTTCATCAAAGGGAAAGAAAAGTGTGTGTGCGTGTTGTGTGTGTGTGTGTATGGATGCCTGCGTGCGTGCATGTGCCTGTCGATGTCTCTGGGGCTGCTTTCCAAATTCCTTGCCACATTAATAGTCTACAAAGTGCTTATCAGGACACTAAGTCTTTTTCGTGTTCCTGAGATAGGTCTGAAATTTTTACCCAGTATTGAACATATACCTGAAGTGGTCAAATAATACTTTTTATAAAAAGATTTCTATCTAAGATTATAGTTTTAACTTTTAAATAAGAATGGCCACAATTAACCAACATGCAAAAATTCTCAGACTACTCTGAGAAATTCATTATGCAATGCATTTCCACCTTACTGCATTTTTAAATCTTTATTCTATACTCAACTGATTCCCAATTAGCCCAAGCAAAGGCATGCCTTTCTAACATGATTTGCTTAAAGCAGAGTTGATGATAGAAGGAAGAATCCAAAGACCCTCTGCATGGCAATTTGGGAGTGTGATATTGTCAATTGAACCAAGTGCGCAAATTTCACACAATTCATTTAGTTACAAGTGGGCCTGCTCTCCAGGCACTTCCCTAACTTCCATCCAGGGAATGACGACTCACAAAGAGACACCCACCCGGACTCTGGTAGAAGAACCCTCATTTTAAGGGCACTCTTCCAAACAAATAAATACCTAAATACTGAAAGGGAGCATATCAGAAGCTTAAAAAAGACGAAATAGAAACCAAAACCCTTTCCAAAACAAGGGAATGACGTCTGTATGAAGTTCGCTCACACAATTCTTACTTCCTTGCAGTTTGTTCCTTAAAGATTTGATTTCGTTTTATTGGGCACGACGGGGACTAAATAAAATAAAAGCTTGTTTTTATTTTTATGTTTTGCTGTGGATAATTTGTACAAAAAGTTTCCAAATAGCTAATGAGCTCTAGTGAGACTCAACGTAAAGTGGATCTTTTAAAAGGAAAGTAGAATGCCAGGTTCTACTTTAAAAGAGTATCTCAAAGGAACAAAGAGTCATCTGCCATGTGCTTTTGGAGGTGCCCGTGCTGGAAAAAACTTCTCAATAATATGAAGATGCTGGTACAACTTGTCCTATTACACAACTTCTTACACAACCACATGCGTTACATTTATAGACAGATTTACAATTTGAAAGGAAAAAAGTTCTGTCTTAATAAAATTAGTTTTTTTTTCTTTTTCTTTTTGTTTTTTTTTACAAACTGTAGTCCAAACAAAGTTCTCCATCTCCTCACAGAGCAGATACGTCCTCTCCATTGGGTGTGGATGAGAAAAGCCTTCTGGGCAGTTCCTGCCAGATCTGGTTCCTTCCATGCCTTGCGCTCTGCTTGGAGCATGCAGCACACTAGCTTTGGGGTCACCGCAGAGCCCATACCCTAGTCTTCTGCTCTTTCATTTTTTTTTCATTCATCTTCTTCATCTTCATCTTCCTCTCCATCTGACAGGGATGTACAAGGCCGGATCTGTCGGTAGCGGTCAAGCCACTTCTCTACCATCTGCGTGACCAGGGGGTGGTTCCGCCGCCGGGAACTCTTCTGCATGGCCACCAGCACCCCCCCTTCGGTCACACAGCAGTCCAGCCACTCCCTGAGCAGTTTCTCTTGCTGTTCCTCATTACCTAGCTTTTAGAGGAATGTGAAGAAAAGAGAAAATAAGATCACAGATCAGAGACCTGTTAGGAAAAATTTAATGAGAACATAGCTGGTAGGATCACTAACGAAAAGGTCAAAGCAACAAATTTCTCACGTGGTTTCAACCTCTCAATTTTATGATTAAAACTCAGTTTCCTATGGTTAAACAGAAAATCATCAATGGGAAAATGTACAGAAAAACCTCATGGGGGGGACCACCTATTAATAATGAGTTCATTTGTTTGCTAGAAGAGGAAAAACCCAATGTTACCTAATAAACTGATCTTGGCAAAGAAAAGGCTAGAAAAACAAAGTCTCCGCTTCAAACAAGTGACAAGGTAAGTTTATTCAGTAAAGTATCTACAGAATGAAAGTATAAAAATTACGGTCTACTTTTCTTAATGTCATGATTATAAAAGTTTTACATTATTAGTATATCAAATAAAAAAACAATAGTTTTGTAAGAATATGGGTTTCCTGAGAGTGTTCTTTCTGCGCATCCTTGCCGCCAGCCCTGCCTGCCCACCTCCCTCTCCCCTGCAGCTGCACCCATCTCTGAGGCGGTGTGCCTGCTTCTGCCACTGGTCCAAGTACCTAGTCTCCACACCAAGCAGCCAGTGTTCCTCTACCAGACAGATGGTCTCAGGCTTCCCAGCTTCCCAAAGCCAAGGTTTTAAAAGGCTACTGGCAAGCCCCTTGCCATCCCTAGCCCCTAAACCCCCTTTCCCCACAAATCACACCAGGGCGCTGCAACACCCTCTCCCTATGCCTCTCTCCCTCCACACTGTAAGACTGTCTTCTCTTGCGGGTCTTATTTCAGCAGCACCACCTCCTCAGATGCCTCCTGTTACCGCCAGGTTATCAATCATAAGCCCCAGGAGCCCCGCCCCCCATCCCATCTTTCTAGTTTTCTACTCAGCACCCGTCACTGCATCAGGGCTGGGGCTCTTGTCTTCACGTCACTGCTGCATCTCCACCCAACAACCTACAAAGCAGCTCAGGGAAGGTAAAAGTCATGGCCTGGCTGACCAATACTTCCAGAAAACGACGACAGCCAGGCCCAGATTCAGTGGTGTAGCCGGCGGTGCAGAGAACGCCACTCCTGAAAGATGTTCCCAGTTGGGTTCCGGGGCAGCGTCAGGGCTTCAAGTAGGTTCATGGGGAAGTCGTGCCTCTTACCTCCTGAGCGGAGAGAAAGTGCACGTGAAGTAACTTCCTCTCGCTGTCAACCAGAGGCAGGAACGTGATGGTGACGTCATCATCTGTGTTCAGGTTAGCACCAGCACCTCGGTTGCCGTAGCCGTCGTTCTCCATGGCAACCAAAGCAGAGAAGTGGCCCCTTGTATAGCCCAGAGCAATCGGACTTTTCCAACAAAAACTCTGTTCCCACAACAAAGGCAAATAAACACCTGGAGGGAGGAAAGAAAGTTGCCATGGGATTATCAACTTACAGCTGCAAGCTGCATGGTAAGTAACAGGAGACTTCTAAAATACTCTTGAATAATGGCTTACCTTGAAACCGAGTATATCCTAAAGTTTCTCCCCGGAAACTTTTATAATATTTTACTCCATAAACTATAATTGGTCGTCTAAGAATATGTGCAAGTACAAAAATGTGTGTCTGTTCCAAACTTGCTCCAGGCTGTACAGAATAAAATAAAGAAAGCAATTTCTCTTTAAAACATTTATTGCTGCCCTGGAAAACTAATGTGCAAAACACAATGCTGCTCCCCTTCAGTACACGAGATCAATGCTTTTTTTTTTTAATTGATAATACTGTCAAGCTAAAGAGGCATTAACTTCTTCAAATAGCAAAATCCAATGAAATAATAAAAGAAATCTGTGAAGTCTACGTATACAACTATCTTTCACAATCCAAACCCAAAACCCAATGGATTTGGTTAAATACTGATCCCAGGAACAAGAGATTCAGATAGTAAGGCAGTGGTGGCGTCATTCCATCCTTGCTGTCACCTGTCAGAGTACCGCACCTACGACAAGGTCCTCTCCAAGTAAAAAGATGAGCTGTTGTTATTTCACACAAACATAAATGGCAAGAATACTAAACAGGTCTACTACCATCCCTCTATAACAATTCTGACAACACATTTTCAGGAAGTACATGTTGCTGATGTAAAACAGCCACTGTGCCAGGGTTCAAATTAATCATGGTGCTTTCTGCAAAGATAGCATGTTGTTGTGTGTATATCTGTGTGTATATCTGAACATTACAATTCAGCATACTGAATGTGCTTCACAGAATAAAACTAGTATGAAAGCTAGAGTCTAAGAGGAACAACCCTACATAATTCGTTTTTATAAAAAGTCTATTCCCAGGTTAATTTTAAAGAAATCCCTCTTTCTGTCAGCCATGGCACCTCCTTCTTGGCATATGTCACATGGAAGGAGAGCCTCACCACACTGGAAGCCTCATGAAGATCCCGAGCTTCACCCTCCAGGCCTGACGGCAGACAGAGCACCAACACAAGAGTGCCTACCTACCATCAGCTCAATGGTCTTGGTTAAGTGCCCCTCAGACAGAACAGGAGCTAACCAGGAGGTAGATAAAACAGGCATAAAGCCACATTCCTAAGAGGACAATATGAATGAAGAGCAATCTGAAAAGGTAGGTGAATGCTTAAATCATCATAATGACTTTCATTTTCAAAGTTTCTAATCACTTCATATGAGGACTTGCCTATGGTCATAGTGTTGACAGCAGTCACGGCCAGAACCCAAATCAAGCCAAATCAAGCACAGTTTCATGTCTACCACAATGTTTCCAACAGTTTACACATACATGTAGCCTACTCTTTTCACAGAAGCAACATGCCTTGAAGCATTCTTACCTGACTAGCGAGAGAGAGTATAAATGCCCAGTCTTCTTGCCACTGTTCTTCTCTCAAGGAAAAATGTAAACCAAAGCTCTGAGAATACCATGATTCCCAATCTTTCCAACGTGTATAAAACCTAAAAAAGCAAGATTGCAAAAGATAAGCCTTCTATAAATGTTCTAATCATGTATTTAATGGAGTCTGTCTTTAAGCAATTCCTGTAAAGAGAACAGCAATTTTATTAATCTTACCCAGTTTGCAATATACTTTCAAACTAAAAATGCCTAGCAGACATCATTTAACACATTCTCACACACAATTTAATTCACCACCCAACATGTTTTCACCAAAACTTTAAATATTAGTGATAAGAACAGTCAATTTCAACTGTCTACTACTGGTTTAAAGGTTAAAAAGCAAAAAGCAAACACTCAGAATCATCTGAGATGCTGGATATAGAGATGCTACATTTCTACATTACTATTTAGTATTCACTACTTGATCACTGTGTAAATAATAAACTAGAAATAGCCCATGTATTCACAACAGTATCAAAATCACTTCCAGGGCAAGGCCCTAAATCTTTCTGACTCTATGAAGGCTCAGAAATATGAGGAAACCATCAAAGAGAAATCTGAAGGTAGCAGAGTTGGTTCATGAGGTTTAAAGGAAGAAGCCATCTCCAGACATCAAAGTGTAAGATGAACTGACAAGTGATGTAGAAGCTACAGCAAAATTCTCCAGAAGATCTATCTAAAATAATGAATGTAGGTAGCTACACTAAACAAATTTTCAATGTAGATGAAACAGCCTTCTACAGGAAGAAGATGCCTTCTAGGACTGACATAGCTAGAGAGAAGTCAGTACCTGCTTTCAAAGGACACGCTCTCGGGATCCCTGGGTGGCGCAGCGGTTTAGCGCCTGCCTTTGGCCCAGGGCGCGATCCTGGAGACCCGGGATCGAATCCCACGTCAGGCTCCCGGTGCATGGAGCCTGCTTCTCCCTCTGCCTATGTCTCTGCCTCTCTCTCTCATTCTGTGTGACTATCATAAATAAATAAAAATTAAAAAACAACAACAACAACAAAGGACACGCTCTCTTGTTAAGGGGCTCATGCAGCTAGTGACTTTAAGTTGAAGCCAATGCTCCTGGCCATCCCTGGGCCCTTAAGAATTATGCTAAATATACTCTATTTTAAAAAAAGCCTGAATGACAGTACATACATTTACAGTATAATTTACTGAATATTTTAAACCCACTGTTGACACCTACCCCCCCCAGATTAAAAAAAAAAAAAACTCCTTTCAAATTATTACTGCTCACCGACAATGCACCTGGTCACCCAAGAGCTTTGATGGAGATGGACAATCAGATTGTTTTCATGCCTGCTGCTAAAACAACATCCATTCTGCAGCCCATGATCAAGGAGTAATTTCGACTTTCATTATTCCAAGTAAGCCTCTAGCTGCCATTCCTCAGATGGATCTGGACAAAAGAAACTGAAAAACTTCTGGAAAGGATTCACCATTCTGGATGTAACTAAGAATGTTCCTGGTCTAAGGAAAGAGGTCAAAATATTAACATTTACAGGCATTTGGAAGAAGCAGTTTACAACCCTCTGGATGACTTTGAGGGGTTCAAGACCTGAAAGGAGGAAGTAACTGCAGATGTGGTGGGAATAACAAGAGAACTAGAATGAGAAGTAGAACCTAGAGATGGGACTGAACTGCTGCAATCTCCAAAGACAACTTGAACAGATGAGAACTTGCTTGTGATGGATGAGCAACGACAGTGGTTTGTTATTTATTTATTTATGTATTTATTTATTTTGCAAAGGAATCTAATCCTGGCAAAAATGCTATGAAGACTGTTGAAATCACAACAAAGGATTGAGAATATCACATAACTGAGCTGATAAAGCAGCAGCAGGGTTTGAAAGGACCAACTCCAATGCTGAAAGGAATACTGTGGATAAAATGCCATCAAACAGCATCACGCACTACAGGGAAATCATTCATGAGGAGTCTATCAATGGAGCAATCTTCGCTGTAATCTCACTTTAAGAAACTGCCACAGCCACCTCTACCTTCAGCCACCAGCATCCGGATTGGCCAGGAGCCATCAACCTTGAAGCAAGACCCTTCGCCAGCAAAAAGATCGGGACTCAATGAAAGCTCAGATGATGGCTGGGGTCTCTCAACAGAGACCTTAAAATTAAGGTACGTATAGTTTTTTTAAGACCTAATGGCTACTGCACACTTGACTACAGACTATAATATACTGGAAACATTAACTTTTATATGCACTGGGAAACCAAAATATTCCTTTACTTGATTACAATATTCACTTTATTGCAGCAGTCTAGAACTAAATCCACCTATCTCCAAGGTATGCCTGTATATATTATACATCCAATCAGGTTACCATCTAGGCTTGCCAGCTAGGAAGCGTTTTAATTTTTTTCAGGTGACCCCAAATTTTTCCTCTTTTGTATTATGCTTTGATTTATAATTTAGCTATCAAAAAAGTGATCAAATTGCTCTCATTTTCAAATTCTAGAGAGTACTTTCATTCAGTACTGTTTACGGTGTACTTACTAGGTCAGGCTACTGGAGGCACTAGATCTTCCACAACGAAACCCAACAAAACCTCTGTTCTCATGGAGTTTATGTTCTAATGGACTTCACATAATCCCTAAGTACTCACAACAAAATTTACCTAGTAAATGCTCAGAAATTACATAAGAGGCACTAGGGTAGTAACATCTTTTGGATTAAAGCCATTATCATTACCGTGTTCAGTTAGGTATGGGGGGGGAGCATATTTTAATTAATTTAGCTTCTTTCACCCTCAATTTTTCTCACTTATGAAAACTGAGACAATGTATATACAGAACCAAGAAAATACCATTAAGTCAAGACCAGTCATATACCTGGTTGGATGCTGGGTAAAAAATAAGACACAGGTTTCCCCTACTATCTGAAAGTTTGCTTCATGCCCCTTTGCTTTTATGAAAGACCTACATTAGTACCTGTTCTTGCTAGCTGAAAAGAAACCTGAAGAGGATTTTCACTTCCACGAGATGGTAATTACATCTTTGCTTTATGCCATTTCAGCTGACAAAAGGTTTCCCAGGAATGCTCTACTTTCAGATAGCAGGAAACCTGTCTACATAAAGGACATTTCTGAGATAACTAGAAGATATGATATGGACTATAAAATGGATAACAGAGTCCTTGCTGATTTTCTTAGATGTGGTCCTGTGGACTCAGCTGGGTAAGAGACTATCTTGGTTCTTCAAAGATGCACACTGAGTTACTGATGGGGAAAAAAGCATCATGGTGACTTTAACTGGCAAAGAGAGTTGCTTACATATGTAGAAGCAAAGCCCATATAGGTTAAGTGTTGTTGTTGTTTTTTGTTTTTTTGTTTTGTTTTGTTTTGTTTGTTTTTAAGATTTTATTTATGTACTCATGAGAGACAGGGAAAAAGAGGCAGAGACATAGGCAGAGGAGAAGCAGGCTCCATGCAGTGAGCCCGATATGGAACTCAATCCTGGGACCCCAGGATCACGCTCCGAGCCAAAGGCAGATGCTCAACTGCTGGGCCACCCAGGCGTCCCTGGGTAAGTGTTAAGTGGTCAAGCCAATGAAGGAAACCCTGAGATTTGTTGCATTGATATATATATATTTTTAATTTTCTGTGGATTTCAAAATTTGCAAAATAAAATGTAGTCTGAAGACTATGTGCCTCGGGAAGAAAAAAAATCTTGTAATACAATGCCAACATAATCTTTTAAATTTAAACAAAAATATGAAATAACACTTAAAAACATGAGCAAAGGGATCCCTGGGTGGCGCAGTGGTTTGGCGCCTGCCTTTGGCCCAGGGCGCGATCCTGGAGACCCGGGATCGAATCCCACGTCAGGCTCCTGGTGCATGGAGCCTGCTTATCCCTCTGGCTATGTCTCTGCTTCTCTCTCTCTCTCTCTGTGTGACTATCATAAATAAATAAATAAATAAAAATTAAAAAAAAAAAAACATGAGCAAAGATCTTATCAATATTTAACTTCAAAAGTATCTATTTAAAAGCTCAGCATAAAGGTATAAAAGCCAACAAAATGTTTCATGTGTCTCAATGTGCAAAACCAAAGTTTTCCCCATAGCTTCCAAAGTAAAGGTAACAGGTGAAAAGTATCCCAACAGTATAAGGAAATGATTCAGCAAGAGCATGCCTGGCTTTACACAGGGAAGAACACCAGCTCACCAATGTGAACAGTCATGCAGGCTGTCATGCAGGGCTTTCCGAAGCACCGAGTCCTTGTCATAAATGCCCCAGGTAGCTTGTAGCACTGAATCAAGTAAGCAGTCTCCTGCAGTTCGGTTCCAAAGTGCATACAGTCGACTGTCCAAACGCGTAGCCAATTCCAAAGACCAGTTTATAATTGGAGATTCTTCTTCTAACTCTACACAAGGAATTGGAAGTAACATGTTGATGTTCATGCAATTTAGAACTACTCATTGGAGCAAAGAATCCATTCTCTGGATGTTGATATGCTTATGTATCATTTACCATTAAACACATAAATAAATCTGATCAATTCAAATACAAACCTTCTGAGTAGCTGAAACATCTATGGCTCTAGATTAAGTTTTTTTCCTCAACTTCTATATTCTTTACAACTTATTTGCTAAGAATGTTTAACAGGGAAATATACTCATTCTAGAATAGAAGGAGAAAACCAAGGCTTAAAAACTTTTATACCTTTATTTACTCCATCACCATTAAAGAGCCATGAATGAGCATTCTTAACTTTTTTTTCCCCAGTTTTATCAAAAGATAATTAACAGAATGAACACGTTTAACAGCACAATGTGACAATGATCTTAAGGACTTTACATTTTCAATTAAAGTAAAAATAAAACAAGTCAACCATACACTGAACTGTTCCAAGCCTTACAAAGCAAAGAATTAATAGAAATTGAACTAAATCACACTCATTAATTCCACACTTACCTTTCTGAACATCTCTATCAAGCACCTCATCAAATAGTTTTTCTTGGACTGTTGGAGGCAAGTCTTCAATATCTACAAAGCAAAAAAGAGACTTAAAAGATCTTCTTACAAAAAAAAAAAGATCTTCTTACGTCTCATAACTTAATAAATTTGATACGAGCATCTAACAGTGACTTCCTCTAAAAGAATTCCCTTGCCAGGGTGCCTGGGTGGCTCAGTCAGTTAAGTATCCAACTCTTGGCTTCAGCTCCTGGCTTGATCTCAGGGTTGTGAGATCAAGCCCCATATCAATCAGGGGCTCAGCCCAGAGTCAGCTTGAGATTCTCTCCCCCTCCTCCTCCCTCTACTCAGGCTTGCTCACTCACTCTCACTCTCTAAAATAAATAAAATCTTAAAAAAAAAAAAAAAAAAAAAAAAGCCCTAGCCAGTGAAGACAGTCAAGTGCCTTCCTGTAAAAAAACATGCATGTATGTGTGTGTAAATATAATGTAAAAGACTTCCTTTCTGTATGTCATTATCAAAGCTGTTATCTAAAAAATAATAAAAAGAATAATATTTAGACCAATAATTGCATACAACTATTGTCATACAAAGAAGAGATAATAATGTTGGTGAGGATATGGAGAAGGGAACTCTTGTGAACAGTTAGTGAAATGTAAATTGGTATAGCCACCATAGAAAAGTGGGGAGATTCCTCAAAATGTTAGAAGAATCATGATCCAGCAATCCCACATCTGGGTATATATCCAAAGGAAATGAAAATTGGATAATGAAGAGGTTCTGAACTCCCATGTGTGCTGCAGCATGACTCACAATAGCCAAGATATAGAAACAATCTAAGTGTCCATCAATGGATGAATAAATAAAGATTGAGGGAGAGGGGAAGTATAAAAATGGAATGTTATTCAGGCAGGTAAAAGAAAGAAATCCTGCCATTTGCAACAATATGGATGGACCCTGATGGCATTAGGCTAAGTGGAATTAGCCAGAGAAAGACAAATCAAATACTGCACGGTACCATATCCATGTGAACTCTTTAAAAAAAAAAAAGTTAGACTCCTAGAAACAGGGAAGAAAGATTGCCAGGGGTTGGGGGAAGTGAGGAAAAAGAGAGATTGGTAAAGGGGTACAGAAACTTTCAAGCTATAAAATGAGTAAGGCTGAACACCTAATGTCAAAACCATGGTAACTGAATTTTATAACAAGATGTTATATAACTGAAATTTGCCAGGAGAGTAGAACTTACATGTTCTCACCAAAACAGATAAATGAGTCAAACATGTGAGACGATAGGTGTGTTAATTAACTAGATGGGGGAAACTCTTTCACAATGTATGCATATACGAAATCACAATGAATAACTTGAAATATTTGACAATCTTATAGGATAATTATCCCTCGGTAAAACAGAAATAAAAGAAAAAAAAAGAACAGGGCTATCTGATATTCAGATTGATGAAACAGTAACAACATACAAATATTTATCTGCCCTTGACTCGCTGCACTCTCAACTTCTACTTAGGCCTACTGTTTTCAGACTTTAGAATCTTCTTATAAAAGTTAACGAACCATTAATTATTGGTACACACAGATCTCTGTTTTTGTCATCTTCCTCAAATTCTCCATGCTGTGTTCTGTTACTAATGGAGTATCTAGAGTAAAAAAGCATTACCCTAAAAAACAATTTTTTTTTTAAATTTAGGCTATTTTCAAGTCAAAATAAAAATCCAAACATCACCAGAATAAGTTTAAGTGTACAGAGATGGCATTTCAAATGAATTTTGTCTGATTTTATTTTTACTCAAGAAAGGCAGACCTAGGCAGAGGGAGAAGCAGGCTTCCTGTGGGGAGTCCGGTGCAGTACTCAATCCCAGGACTCCAGGATCACAACCCGAGCCAAAGGCAGAGCCACCTAGGTGCCTGAACTTTGTCTGATTTTAAAAGGCTTAGTTATCGGGGTGCCTGGGTGGCTCGGTCGGTTAAAGGTCCATCTCTTGATTTCAGCTCAGGTCATAATCTCAGGGTCGTGAGATCAAGGCCCATGTTGGGCTTAGCATGGAGTCTGCTTGTCCCTCTCCCTCTGGTCCCCCACCCCCACCCCGCTTGTGCTCATGCTTCTCTTTATCTCTCAAATAAATAGTCTTTTTTTTTTTTAAGGCTAAGTTATTATCTTCCTACCATTTGTAAATGCCCCTGTTCGTGTCAATATAAAAGCTCAAGACACTCAGAAGCAAGAGGAAAGCTTTGTTTTAGAAACTTCTGGTGTTTGGTGCATTTATTCAGTGTCCAAAGACAAAAAGCATCCTGGAAGACACTTCCGATAGTCTGAACTGAAAAATGAAAAGCTGCCTCACAGACATAGTAGAAATTAATATAATGAGTGAAGAACATAATGACACTTCAAAAGAATGCCAGTATCTGATTCAAATAATCTCCACCCATCAAAAGCTGGGGTTCTAATCCTATCTACTAATACTAATAACCAATAACTCCGTAATTTTAAAACAAGCATGAAAAAGGAAAAAAAGTACACTGATAATGTCCTAAACTAAAACTGAAGAGAAAAATAAATGGGTAAAACAGATTTTTAAAAACATCTAAGGCCCACATGAAAGTCAGTTATTATCAGCTGTCACCTTCCTACCAGATCTGAAGGATAAGTTCCCGAGGAACCCTTGTACTGGTCACCTGCATGATAAATAGGGTAATTAAGTAATTTAAAATGTACATAATAGGCTAAGTTATCTGCTTTCTAAGAGAGACAATTTCACTCACACATTTAAAAAAAAAAAAAAGAATTCCAATAAAGTGAAAATTTCTTTTCACATTGAAATTTGGAGTTACCTGCTGGCAACGTAAATGTTACAAGGTCAGTTAGAAAATAGCAAGCAAAATCCCCCTTTCTCTGATGAAGAGAGGCAGCTATCTCTCGCCGGATCTGCTCTGTCAGTTCAGGACACACCATTGCTGGAATACACTTTGCTGCTTGTTGAGACACCTTAAATACAAAAGAAACTTTCCTCTGCATCTCATTTATCATTAAAGAAAGCAGAAAATAACAGTATTTAAGAGAAATTACCAAACCTTCCCAGTAACCCAGGATGTTGTTTAATTTTTAAACAGATTAGGGATTATTTCCTCACCAGTGGAAGTATGTTTCAGTACACCTTTCCAGGAAAATAGCCAGAAAAACACTTTACCTTCTAACTCAGGAAATTCACTTCTTTAGGAATTTATCCCAAGGACATATATAAAGATTTATGTAAAAATTTACATAAAATGGTGTTGTTCACAAAGGTTCATCCTAAGAGAGGGAGGGAGGACAGAAAACCACCTAAGTAAGACTTAGCATCATGCCTGCCATAAAAGTATTCTTAAAAAACAGGAAATTCCAGCTCATGGAGAAAGAGGAGAAAGTACACACACTCTTCTCCTGCTGGGTTAAGAATACTTCAAGTACCCCAATGTGGAATAAAGAAAGCATGATATTTTTAAAGGGTTAGTTTCCACTGACCTCAAATCCCTCCCCATTTGTTATAACTCTGAATATTTAAAAAAGCAGTTGGGCTTCTCCAATTGTAGAACAGACAACAAACCTTTGAAGTACAGCCAGCCTGACAGGAATGAAACGTGAGCAGTGATATAGTGAGCGCTATGATGGAGAACTTCTAGAAAGGGCATGGCTAGAACTTTTCTTTTCTTTTCTTTTTAATGATGGATTTGCAATGAATGATGCAAAGATATTATTTGACTTTTAAGGTGTATTCCTTTTATGGAGCTCAAGAAATATGCATACAAAGAATTCTGAAATCAAAGGTAAGTATCTGCTAGAGAGGAAATAAGTCTGGTGTGAACCTGTCTCTGTCACTACAGACAACAGCCACAAACCTGGACAACCTTCCCAAAGGCAAGTTTCCAGTCACAAGTGGAGTTTAGAGCATATGTGCCAATAAGCCACTCAAAGAGTCAGCTTTACTATTAATGTCATCTATATGATATATGGGAACAATTAACTATAATTTTTATTAAGGTAAGTAAGTAAACAGCATTTCAAAACCTCTGCATAACCAACACAAGCATCAGACATCATATCGTGAAAAATCCTATATGAAAACTCAGCTTTGATAAATTCTATTGGCCAGGATTACCAGTAACAATGAAATTCTCACTACCTCTTAACTCCATGAACCCAATCATCACGTGACAGTCAAATTATGGAAAATGAGATGCCAATGTTTTCAGAATATAACTATTTCTCAAGAAACGGTGTTAAACGGATCCCAAAGTAAGTTCGAAGTTCCCAAAGCTTATTCTCATCAGCTAACCCTCTGCCTCCTTCCAGAAACCTGAGACTGTTTCTTCAAAAACTTGGGTCTGTATCATGAATACTGCAAACATTCCAAGAGAAACCTTACAGCTGGTAAAGAGTCTCCAAGCATGCCCCCTCACCCCCCACTGCCATCCTTCAGCTCAGGTCCCTGAAAGCCTATCCTTCATCTTCTAGCCTCTTTCAACCTTACAACTCTCAACTATCTCCTTAGGCCAGTAATTCTTAACTTATGGCACATGAACTTGCAAGGGCCTGTGAACCTGAATGAGAATTTTCATTAAATTTAAATCCTTCATTTTCACTAACCTCCTGTCTATATTTAAAATGCATTCTCTTATATATCACAAATCTACTATTCTGAAAAAACTGTCAGAATATAACTGATTTCTCTTGCCATCTTATTTTTATTCTACACATTTAAAGAAACAGTATATTGAAAAGGAGTCCATAGGCTCCACCAAACTACCAACAGAGTCCATGACCTAAAATCCAATTAAAAACCCTGACCCCAGGGATCCCTGGGTGGCGCAGCGGTTTAGCGCCTGCCTTTGGCCCAGGGCGTGATCCTGGAGACCCGGGATCGAATCCCACGTCGGGCTCCCGGTGCATGGAGCCTGCTTCTCCCTCTGCCTGTGTCTCTGCCTCTCTCTCTCTCTGTGTGTGTGACTATCATAAATAAATAAAAACTAAAAAAAAAAAAAAAAAAAACACTGACCCCAGATACTATCTCCAAAATATAATGTTCTCCTGTTCTGATCCCAAAAGTACTTGGCTCTGTGCTCTCACTGCAGGCACATCCCTTAGCATAATCTCCCTACTGGCCCCTTCAACTCCATCCTCTGGAGCATTCATTCCACTGAGATGACATTTCACAACCAATTTTGTTCTTTCCCTGGAAATCCACCCCGCTCCCCCTCTCCCACAGTGCACCAGTTAGTCTATGTGTTCCAGAGAATATGGCAAAATTGATAAGTTGCTTCCTAAATTAGGTTCCATCTAGAAGACCCTGCAGCTTCCATGCACTCTCTTGTGCTGTCCCACGGATCACTTGTTCTTGTGAAACCTGCCCTCTGAAGGAGCCCACGTACCAGGATTTGAAGCCCCCCGCCACCAGTTATGTGAGTATGCTTGGAACCAGATCCTCTCACCCGAGTCAAGCCTTCTGACAACTGCAGCTCTGAAAATTTGACTATAAGCTCATAAGACCTTGAGCCAAAAACTATTCAATCAAGCTGCTCCTGGATTCCCTACCCTCAGAAACTGCATGGAGATAACAACTGCTGCTAAGTGGAAGTGATCTGTTAGACAGTAAATAGAAAGTACCCTGAGGTTCTACTGCCTTCCCACCGTCAGTCCCCAGACGCTCTCAGGGCAGTGACTTAGGACTGTCACTCCAACCTTCTCACAGCCCTCTACCAGCCGGAGGGCAGCCTAGGAGCCCACCAACGACTTGAGCCTTGATTCACAGCTGCCCCCTCTATCCTGTCTCCTGCCACCACCAGCAACTATAGCTCCACACATTGGCCCTGCCAATACACAACGCAAATGTAGCCAGACCTCAAATATGATAGGAACTACCTCTAACTGTTCCAGAACTCTAGTCCTTCTAATCACACTGCTTTTCCAGCAGTCCCTTTCTCTAGCCACAGCACACCTGCCCCTTGTTTTTCACTACAGCTCTCACTCAAGCCCTGCCCTTCCTCTTATAGGTGCCTCTGGTGTCACTGGGTGCTTACCACGCTGAACTACAGCTAGCCATTTCAATCATATTCCTTAAACCCTCCCAGTGCTGTGTACATAGTGGTTCACACCACTTGGGTCTGTATCGTGAATACTGCAGACCCTATAATCCAATTTATTTTTTTAAGCTTTTTTTTTTAATTAATTTATTTATTTATGATAGTCACAGAGAGAGAGAGAGGCAGAGACACAGGCAGAGGGAGAAGCAGGCTCCATGCACCGGGAGCCCGACGTGGGATTCGATCCTGGGTCTCCAGGATCGTGCCCTGGGCCAAAGGCAGGCGCCAAACTGCTGCGCCACCCAGGGATCCTATAATCCAATTTAAAAACCCTAACCCCAGATACGTATCTCAAAAATATAATGTTCTCCTGTTCTGATCTCAAAAAGTACTTGGCTCTGTGCTTTCTCTGCAGGCACATCCCTTAACGTAATCTCCATACTGGCCCCTTCAGTTCCATCCTCTGGAGCATCCATTCCACTGGGAGGACATTCCACAACCAATTTTGTTCAATATGGGCAAATTTGGATATGCAAATATGCATGCCACAGAAGACGCATACTGAGAAAATTTCAATCTTCTTTTTTTTTTTAAGAGCCATTTTCAACTATTTTTCTGGAAGGTTTTTTTTTTAATTTTTATTTATTTATTCATGAGAGACACAGAGAGACAGAGAGAGAGAGAGAGAGAGAGAGAGAGACAGGCAGAGGGAGAAGCAGGCTCCATGCAGGGAGGGAACCCGACGTGGGACTCCATCCCAGGTCTCCAGGATCACACCCCGGGGCCGCAGGTGGCACTAAACTGCTGCGCCACTGGGGCTGCCTGAAAATTTCAATCTTCAACTGACCTGACCCCCTGCACTCTATTTATCTTATTGTTAAAAGAATTAACTGGATAGTACGGTCATATCCTGAACCATTTGTTCATCTGCAATCATTTGTGACATCTGTGTAGTTATCTAAGCCCAAAGGCTTGATCCCCCCCTCTCCATTACTCCCCACATCCAGTTGATCCACTTAATCTTGACTCTGTCCCCACCAGTTCTGTCAAACCGGCCTAACTTCCTTCCACTGCCACTGTGACTCTGGTACCAGCAGAGCCCTTGTCAGCGTCATGTAATGCCCACCCTACCAAGGCTTCCCCCTCTCTAATCCACAGCAGCCAAAATACACTGTGATCTGGCCACTCCCCTGCTCCTCTCCCTAACTCTGCAGACCTGTTCATGGCCCTAGGAACAATCTTCGAATCCCCTGGCCTAGAAGACCCTCCACAGTGCTTCCTTCTCCAGATCCCAATCACCATCACAGTCATGCTGAGCACCTGCAAGTTCCTGAAATCACCACAAACACTACCACCAGGGCCTCTGAATAAAGTTTCCTCAACTCCCTCTCTCTTCCACCCACCTATGACACAAACTCCTACTTCTCCTTCAGACCTCCACTACAATGTAACCTGCTCTAAGTGAGAAGGTAAGATACCCCAAAACGCTTTCTCTAGTACTCCCACAGCACCTGGCATTTACATCTATGAGAACACACTCTGTACAGAATTACCTATTTCTCTGCCCCTCTGAATACTCACTAAAGGAAGAGCCAACACCAATCACATGCCTCTTTAGCACAGTATCTTGCACACACAGTGGGTACTCAATAAATATTAGCTGAGTGAATGAATGAAAGCTATGTCCTAGTGTTTTTCTAATCAAACAGATGATTAAAATCTTGTGGCAAAATGTCCTGTTTTAAGAGCATATACCCTTAAGAATTATAGACTGTTGAAGTCTCAGGTTTAGTGTGAATTTATAAAGGGAGTAGATGAATCTAAAACATTTAAGAACAGTTTTAAAAAGCATTACAGTTTAGAAAAGCAAAAATAAAAACTAATGAACACATTCCTTCATGTAAAACAACATTTAACCAAAATGTCATACTCACTTCCGTAAGCAGTATTGCTAGCATATCCTGCCTCTGAAAACGTATAGCCAGATGTACGAGAGTATAGCCAACATCAAAAGCAGAAGGACGGTTCAGCAAGCGCACTTCATCTGCAGTGAGCTGACGTGCAATGTCCCCTCCTGATGACTTGTATGCTTCTATAGCAGCTAAATCACCTTCTACAACCCCTAGAACAAGCAACAAGATAGAAAAGAATTTAATTCTATTTTTCTTCAAAAACCATAAACCTGTTGCATTCACTCTAAACCCTCTTAAGTGTCTCTCTAGGATTCCTGGACCCTCAGACAACATTTAAATGTCCTAAAGAATATTAAGAAAAGTTAGTGTACTCCTCTCCCTTTAATTTCTTGCCAGAACTAGAACTACCTATTTAGGTACTTACCTTCACATCAGTGCTGGCTCCATGCTCTAGTTGAGGTTTAGAGGTATCATTAGAATATACTGATTGGATCAAAGATCAGTAATCCTAGTGTGAGGAAGTAGACTTTACAGAAGACACTAAACTACCTATTCTGGTCCTGACTCTACAGAAACCAAGGAGAAGGGGATATGCTGCTTCCTATTGGCTTTGGGCTCTCTCGCCCTTTGCACTGCATTCTTTAAGCTGAATCAAAACAAATGTTGGACCTTCCATATTGTTGTTTAGCTAGAAACAATTCAGAGCAATTAAACCATTTTCAGTATAGTTAAAATTAGCAACATTTTGATTTCAGAACCTCTCAAAGCCATGTGTTCCTTACATTCATTAAGTATTAATACAGTAAAACTTGAACCAGATGAGTTAGAACAAAAATAGGCCAAAATAAAACATTACAAACCAGTTGGGGATAGAGAGATAAAACAAGTATCACTTTTTTATAATCCATAAAGAACTTTCTGTTCCCACTAAATCGTGTTACTAATCTTAACACAAATTAATGTTAGGTGAAGACAGTATTCCTGCTTACTAAAGCTGTACAGTACATATCTATGAATAAATAGCCTTGGCAAAAAATAAAGGTAAGCTTCAAATCTACTCACAGTGTTACACACACACACACACACACACTCTCAAGACTGTAGGACCAAAGAGTTTTTAGTGTTTTCTAAGTTATATCAGGAAAAATCTGTTTGTTGGGTAAAACACTAATACTAGCTAAAAATATTCTTAGTGTATCTTTTTAAAAATCATTTTTAATGGCCATCCTGAATTAGGAATTAGAGAAATAAGAGCTACTTCTGTGAGCATAACAGATTCATCCAATGCAATAATTTCTCCCAGTTGCTTAAAATAGAAAAACTTTAAAATGATAATTCCCATGTTCATTGAATCCCCATGACGTACATGCAAAGGACTATACTAGGCAATATGAAAAACACAGATAGTAAAAACATGATTCCTATACTCAAAACAGTCCTTTCTCACCACGTTTTAAGCCACAAAAGGCCAGCTTCAAATGTTTTCAGACTCTGTTGGTCAAGGATCCTTTCTGCAAATCCAGACCCACTCCACAAAAAAAAGAACACCCTGCCTCTGACACATTTTTCAGGTGAAGAATCCATGATATGAAACCAGAACACCTTCTTACAGGAACTTTTATTTTCATGGTTCACGTAGGTTAATACATTCTTCAATATAAACACCTCAGTACAGCTGTCACCCCCGCCCCCAAAACGGAAAGAGCCTTTAGGCCCAGTGCCCTGGCAAAATCATCTGGGCTAAATCGTGGTACGCTAAAATGTGATACGGCTGGCAGGAATCTTCCTCAAAGGGCAGGCCTTATAAATAGATATAGAAAGTCCTACTTCAAATTAAAAAAAAAAAGAAAGAAAGAAAGAAATCTATGGTTAAATAGTCAAGTACACAAAGAACTCTGAAATTTCTGCTTGTTTTAATGAACAGATGAAAGTAATCAAAGAGAGCTCGTAACTTTAGGATTTAATGAGGTTCATCTTTTTAGAACTAAATATGCTCTACTACTCTGTTTCCTTCTATGGGTATTTCCGTATGAAAGCAACTACTTTTCATGTATGATTTATCAAAGCTGTCATTATTTCTGGGTGCCTGCAGTATCACTGCACCTTTTATAAGCTTTAGCCTAAAAATATATATTTATAAAACTTCTATGACATGAGAAAAGCCACTCAAGGACCAAAAAGACTGATCAACTGACCTGAAAAGCTACAGAGGAGGAAGACGTGCACAGAACATGTATACGTATGTGTACCTATTCAGGCATGTGCATGTGCCTGCATGCACATACCTTTTTTGCTTCCCAAAGACAAAGATGATTGCCAACCAACTTCTAAATCACTGTCTTCACTATTTTTAGCTAGCTCACCATATAGCTCATGTCTGAAGAATCTTCTCTTAGAAATTCTTAAGAATTCATTTCCTGGGACTCCTGGGTGGCTCAGTGGTTGAGCGCCTGCCTTTGGCTCAGGTCATGATCCTGGGGTCCCAGGATAGAGCCCCACATGGGGCTCCCTGCATGGAGCCTGCTTCTCCCTCTGCCTATGTCTCTGCCTCTCTCTCTCTCTCTCCTGAATAAATAAAATCTTAAAAAAAAAAAAAAGAGAGAAGAAGAAGAAGAAGAAAAGAAAAAGAAAAATTCATTTCCTCAGTCATGGTTGTGAGAGATTTCTGTAATTAGAAACTAACATAATCAAAGACAGGGGGTACAGACCAGAGAGCACAAGAAAGGTGACACACTGTGCTTTGAAATTATGATTTACGATGTCACCCAGCCTGGCTTCAAATTAAGCATTTTTTTAAAATATAAACAGAACTTCAAAAGATGAACTTGTACAGTATATGAATTCTATCTCAATAAAGAAGATACATACACACAAAAACAGGATTTCTATTTGTCCTAATCCAAAATACCAAAACAATTACTTCCCTCATCCCCCAGCTCTGCAGTGAACTGCAGACACAGTATGCTGTTGCTCCCCAGCATGAAGTAAACCCAGGGGGTCAGAAAATGAGGATGAAGAGAATAGAGTTTGTGCTCTATTGAAGAATAGAGCACTAAATCCTCCAAATCTTCTAGAACATGAAAAACACAATGTAAGTACAGGTACAAGGTAGTATCCCAAAGAAAATATCATCTAATGTTTTGGGAATATAGGATTCCATTCTTTTAACTATAGTTAAGAACTTAGTTTCAGTTACCAGTGAGTTTTCAGCTACAAAGACAAGTACATTTATTACAAATGTCATGAGACTGTCACCAAACAGTCCAAATGTTTTTTAGTCTATCTTTATGACACATTGTTCAATGACAGCTACTGACTAAAGTTTCGACAGCTTCTTGACAGATGGGTTTTTACTGCAAGCAGGGTATTAAAAAGGATATGGCCCATACTCAGATAAGGTAAAGTTTTACCTACCAAAGTTTTCTACTTAGGTGGACAAAGTATCAGATCATATGCAAAACAACTTAAAATGTCTTTTGAGTTCTTCATGTAACATTTTTTACCACCTCTAATATCAGGGGATAAAGGAAAGGAGGAAAAGGGAGAAGGCTGGTTGGTAGAAAAAGACAGCAAAATAAATGCAAGAGGTATAATCTCACTTCATGTAACAATAACCAAGAAAAACCAGAACAATTCCAATGGAAGAGAGATGATGGTGTATACATGCTTCCTAGTTACTGACCTCTCACGCTTCCAAGCGTGAACTAAAGCATCTTTAACATGTTTTTTGAAAATTTTAACAAATGTATTATTACATACATGTTCTGTCCCTTTTTCTTCTGTGCTATGACTGCAAATTAAAAGGACAGCTGAAGGCACTCTGAGAAGGTTAACTTTATAAAACTAACCTACAGTATCATCACACATTCAAAACTGACTGAATAACCAACTAAGCAATGGTGCATAATTACAGATAATGCAAAGTTAACATACTTTTAAAACATTAAGACCTAAGAGTAAACAAAAGTTACTACATCTTACAAACTATAAAGTTAAAAAAAAAAAAGTTTGTATTGTTCTATAAGCTGGGCCAGGAGTGGAATTTAACATATTTTGAAGCCACAGGACACAACTCATGGGACTTCACAGCTACTATGGAACTCCGATGGTTAGAATATGGAGCTGGCTCATAGATGTTTAGAAAACAGACTTATTTTTTTCCCCCATATATGGCACAGTTTTCAAAGTTTTGCCTTATTTTTTTTATGACATAAAATCATAATGGTAACTAACTTTGAAAAGAATGCCAAATGGTAAAAAAAAAGCCAGGACTTACCTGAGCCCACATGGGCCAGCTCAACACTACCCTGGAGTTCTATGGTAGCTGTGACATCACAGCATGGTTTATGCTGTGGGGTCAGGGTGGACTTGGAGTCAGCTGGCACAATTTCAGGAGCCCTTAAAGAGAAAAGTTAGTTTTAAGTGGTAATGTTCACAATGTGCTTTACCATGGTCAGCAGAAAGATGCAGATGTGCTGTCTACAATGTCTGGAGAGCTGTCTTCTACCCAGAGTTTAATTCACTTAGGTGGTTTTGCATATTAAAAAAAAAATTATGCCACCCAGTAATACTTTTTCTTTATATTCCTAACCATTTGGCTATAGTTCAATGACGAACTTGGCTTAGATATCCATATTCACAGCTAACTCCTTCAATACTCAAATATGAGATGCTTTTTAAATAAAATGACCAATATTTTTAAAGTGCATCTTCAAGTTGGCACAAGCTCAGTGGCAATCCCAGGAATAGTGTGAGCAGTCCAGACCACCTCTTAGAGGTATTATTCGCATGATAACCAATGGCAGCAAGTGAATTTACCACTTCTATTCCTAGAATAGTGCTACAGAACAATAACCTTTTCAAAAACTGAGATGAAAATCACAAATTGGAGATAAATTCTTTATACTATATCAAGATAAGCTCCTGTTCAATTCAGTCAATAAACTCCATTATGAAAACATCCTCTTTAGAATAAAAGACTCAATGACAGAAAAGTCAAAATAATCTCTAATTAAGGCCTTCAAATATTCTATTATTAATGACAAACTATGCCAAATATAATTTATACTCTGGAGCTCCGATGTCTTTACATCTCTGATTAGACTGTGAACAACCCAACTGCTATGAATATATAAATCCCCCAAATCATGAAAAAATACCTGAAACGACAGACACCTTCAGAAGAAAGATTTCGCCATGCAGGAAGAAT